TTATCCTGGAACATCATGATTCATTACAAGTTATTGTACATTCTTTGATAAAATTTGCTATTAAAATCAATTATCAAATTCAAACAAAATGACGGGTAGCCGTCATCTTTTTTTTTTTTTTTTTAATACAGAAACGCATTTTTTGGCAAAAGCAGGATCCATTGCGTATATATTGCACGCCTTCGGGAGTTCGCGTCTATTCGAGGGCGGAAACGGTTATCCAATATCAAATTAGCGTACGTCAGGGCAAGTTCTTCCATGGCATATGCTCAATAACTCCATTTTCACTGACATAACTTGTAATCGTATAATCCGTCTAGCAATCCGACTGAAAGCAACGATTCTGTTCTTTGTCGATCACGAAGAATGAAAAATATCCGCTTTATACAGACGCCGAGCGTTTAGCTGTAATTGATCCAAATCCAATTTCTCCGAACGTTGAAGGATACAAGCTCGTTAATCCGATAAATTCTCATGTTTCTTTCTCATGAGATACTTATTCGATTAACTTCCATTCCTTCTTCAAAGGTAGATAAAAATTGATTTGATTACGAAACAATTTACGATAAGGATAAACGATTGACTCGCGGTAAAAGCTTTACGCGGTAAAAAGATTTTTACCGGATAACGAATTAAATTGCACAACAACGTACTTACATCGAACATTATTTATAATTTCACGAGAATCGATTGATAATCGATCTAGTTCGAGGAAACTAAATAAGACGCAATAATAACAATTTCTCTTGATTGTCCGCATGGCCGATTCCGAAGCATCGAGTAGCAAATGGGATAGGTGTTACCTAAGCTAGTTACGGATCCTTCGATAAACACAGACGGACAAACGTTTCCTAATTGTGCTGGCAATTGTTTACGCTACCTCGCAGCACCTTCCGGTCTTCCTGCGTTCATGGCTATTCCGTGTTTGCCTCTCCGCTTCTTGCCCGTCTCTGTCATGTCTTCCGGAAGAATGGACGACGAAAATTTCGACGTAGGAGGATCAACGAAAGGGAGGTGTCTTAATTAAGTCGTCGTTGGCGTCTAGCTCCCCCTCTCGCACAAGGAATCTTTTCATTTATTACGTAATTTTCTTCGAACGAACGAAAAGTTCTGTTTGCCGTATTAATTTCTCCGATCGTCGACGACGTTCAAACGAATCTTTCGCTAAGCACGACTACGACGACGACGACGACGACGACGACGACGATTCGTCGTGTCTACGAGGATAAACGCCTCCGAATTAATTTTTAAAGAAATATCGAGATGGAAAATTTCAAGAAATTCGACAATTCCGCTTCGCACTGTCCATTTACCACAACCGAGCTCGCCCCTCGTTCGCTTCTCGTTTCTCTCATTTTTTCCGGTTCCCATTCACCCTTTGCCACGTTTAAGCATCGTCGGAACGATACATCGATTTACTGCGGTTTTACTACTGGCGCGGCGCGGCCGCCTGTTTTAACGATGCATAAAGGTGGCGGCGCATAAAGAAAATGTTGCGACCGGCACGATGAGCGCAAGATAGGATGCACGACAGGTAAGGCATGCAACAAATCGAGGTGGCCGCTTCTCGAGGGAAAAAAAAATATCGGTCGTTTAACACCCCCACCCTGGCCATGCTCCCACGAGGCCGATACCGAGGACGAATTATTGCGCCGCGCCAATCTACGAGGATTACTCGCAGAGGGAAAGGGCCGTCGGGACGTCGTTCGCCGATTTTACGGCCGCACACGTCGTTCTCCTGAAAGCGCATCGACATCGTTGCAGCTTGAGCTTTCCGAGGATTAGCCTATCCGAAACTTGCGGCCCATCCGTATTACGCGATCTGTCGAAAATTTCGATAACCTCGTCTTGATAACCCCCCATGACTCATCTTTCTTATCGCGATCGTCGTCCCAAATATCTATAGATCATGTAATCTATCGATAGTGAAAAAATAGAAAGAACGAGAGTGTAGATCAACGAACCTTGTTGCGAATTCGATTTATTTGGTTTTATTTTTAATTGTCATCGAGTTTACATTGATCGATATTAACAGCGCGTGTTCGTTCCGTTAAAAATGGACGAGCCAAACGGCTCGAAAAGGATCGGAATGCAATAATAGGAAGCGAATCGATCGAGCGTTTAGAATGTGATGATATTGTGGTCGTCGGGAGTAACTATTTAACCTTATCGTATTGCGACGAATGCAAATTACGTGTACAAACGTATATATGCCGTCGCGTGCAATTCTATAGGGATAATCGAAACACCATAAACCAAAACTAGCCACCATAAACCAAACTAGCTCAATGGAACCGGGTTTCACTTCATAATGTATGATCAACGAATAACGGATTCATGATTCACCATTTCAATTCGAAATAAACGTAGATACGATCTAGTTACGAGTTTGTTTAATTACCGACGTAACGATGATTTTCCGTTACAGATGTTAAATTCTACGTTTACATGTCGTTTACGTGGATGTCGATGAACCGATTACCGAAATGTTGGTGATCGATCAGACAGAGGTTTTATTCGACCTTTCGTTTTCCATTCACCAGATATTACTGTTAAATTAATTCCAGAAAAATATTTCTTTCCATTATCTATCCTGTTATATCTTGTTATTCAAACACGTTTTAATACGTCGAATTCTTTCCTTTTTCCAAATTATTTTTCGAAATAAGATCGATAAGAGTAATCATTTCTCTACCACTCGAACAGACGTATCCGTTTGACGTTATTCAACCGGGGCATTGTGAGTCTAATATAATACGTTAATGCTCGAAAAGATGCGAACAGCTTTGAATAATGGAGAAAACTAGTAGCTGCCATTCTGACTCTTATAGGGGCGGTCAGGAGGTTGCGTAACTGCGATGGAACTTTTCTGTTCGCCTAATTGTCCCAAAGGGATGACCTCAACGTTTATTATGCCTTTATTCGCGTTCTTTAATCCACCCCATCCGATTCTTTCATCCCACTCCTCGCAAAGCGATTTATAATTAACGTTAACGTTTCAACGAATCACCCCACTGTTCCGCATTATCGATTCAATGAACCGATTGTTCCAATTCACCCTTCTTATCATAATCCAATTAAATTTCACCGTGACGTATTAATTATTCGACGATGTACGGGATCCGTTATGCCATCAATGATTGATCGCGGCGATACACGCGGATGGCCGAACGGAAAATTTCGAATCGCGAATCGAATCGATCCGCCCTTGCGAGCGGACGATTCGAATTGGCTAGGAAAGCGGATTCGTCCGCTTTGGATCAGAATTACAGCGTTAAGACGGTTGAACTCTATCCTTGCCACTTCTGGATTTCCCAAGTACACGAGAAGATAATCAATGGTAAAAGCATCTTGCTGATATGCAGATTTTGGGATCGTCCAGCATGGCAGGAAGGCGCGAGCATATCTCGAAATAGATATTTGTTCTTTGAACGAAGAGTATGAGTGGTGCGGATTATCCTTTGTGGATTAAAAATAGAAATAACACTGTGATAAAAGATAGAAAAACGCTATCTTCTTACCTCTAATCCGTGCTTATTCTATTTTTTATCAAGAAGAATAAGTTTAAAAATAAAATAAATAATTCCATTTTTTTTTTTTATATTAAGGAAACTTTTGTCAACTTTTTGCTATGAACTTGCATCGCAAATGCATCTCATGGCTGTTACCACCGATATTCTGTCATCGTGTATCCAGCAATTGACTTAATGATCCGAGTGAATCTACTCTCGACGCAGGACCTAAGTGCATACACGAGGTAACATATTGGATGCTCACACGGTTAACAAGCATCTGAGCAAACAACCTACAACGGCCTTGACAAAGCGGCTGCAGCTCTCGCAGTCAGTGGAGCTCGTAATGTAGGGCGCCAACTACAAAATCCCGTTGTTTGCCGTTGCGCGTGAGAAAAATCTCGGAAAGGTATACAGAAAATTGTTTAAAATTCTATCAGCTGAGCACACACAAGACATTAAAAGAAATGTAAATATTTGTTGCGAATGAAATCTAAATCCATCGTATCGGTAAAAACGCAATTAAAATCCGATCAAAGAAGATCTCTGATCGTAGAATATATTTTCGAGGTACAAGTTCGTCGAATATTAATTACTTAAGATTATTTTTACAAATATATTTAGATATGAAGCGTGATAAGCGAAACAATTTGATAATACGTTATGTGGATGTCTTCAAAGGTCTCAACACTGTGAATTTGTGAACGCGAATCTATTGATGGTGCACAGAATCCAAAGTGCGAGGACAGAGTATACACACAGCAGGATGCAATATTAGATAGAGTCGGGTTGCTCATGAATTATAGAGATCGCCGTCTATTACGAGATTGAGGCCAAACACCTTACACACGATAAGATTCTATCGTTAATCGTAATGATGATTATCGTCTGCGTCTGAAAAGAAATATTAAATGAATCGTTTCTCGAAATTGTTATTATATCCATTGAATTTCTGAGAAAAAGATAATTGGACGGAATTAATACTCGAAGAAATGTGTGTACACATATGTTTCATACTTTAAAGAGGAGAGAGATAAAAATGTTTACGTATGATACGAGGAATATTCGTATATTTAATTACATTTCTAAGAATGAGTCGGACGAACGTTAACATAACACAAATGAAACGTAATAAAATGTGAAATTAAGTAAGGAAAAATTCTCAATTATCTTATATTATTCCAAGACAATTTAAATAATTGTTAATATTAAGGGCACCAACGTTTATTCTTACGATAATTAAAAATAATTCGAATCGCACGATATAAAATTTAGATTTATAACAATCGATATTAATTCTTTAATCAATTTATCTCTAAACGATAATCGATTGATGATATCGCAAAACAAGATCTACGTATTCCTAGAATTAAAACTTTTCCAGAAAAAGCAAATATGCTTTTACAAATATAATCGTGATAAGCTAGTTAACTGATAAGCTGATCGGTGGTGATATTTAAAGCAACCGGTTGATATGAAACTTCAGTCTGCAATATTCTGAGCGATAGTATAACGAAGTAAACTCCTATCTCTCGACAAAAAAAAAATCAAAGATGAAAACTATCGTTTTCTTGCCAATTATGGCTGTGGCCATTTCGTTGTTAATCGCCGCACAAGTGAACTCCGCTCCACAATCTAATTTCTATGGTTCGAATAACACGAACAAGTCCCATGACTTGATCATTGGATATAGAATGCCTGGCGACAGACTTATACTGAGGCAAAGTGTCATCAAGAATTCCTCCTGGGGCAGGATAGTAACCGACGAAAAGACATTCAACACAACAAGATTCGAAAGGATTACTCAAGTCCGAGCTCTTGATCAGAAGACCAATGGTAACGGGGCGTACGCGAGCATCCTCTTTGGTGGCCCAGGATGGAACAATGTCACTATCCGGTTCAAGAGCCAGAGGGGTCACGGAATCAACTTCATCGTCGAGATCTACTCACGACCATAAGTCTCTGTTGCACAGATCAGACCAACCGTTGAGAAACATATTCCAAATATGCAAATCAATTATTTAATCTCTTTTTCCATAAAATGGATTTCAACTTTTGGATAATTTATTCGTTCAATATGTAACTAATCTTATAGCTTAATGGAACATAATAAAATTTAATTAATTTGCTGATTAAAATAGTTATTGAAATATGTACATATATATATATATATATACACTCGAGTTAGTTTTTACAAAGACGAGGGTCCAGAATGCGGTACAGGTAAGAAAAATCGAGAACGTTGAGAAGAAGAAAGTTATTCAGAAGTGGTGTCGATAATAATGCAATTAACGCTAAAGTGAAACGACTGGACGCTGGTCGAAAAACAGATTGCGAGGAATTCACTGACGGAATGTCTTTCTTGTATGCCTTAATCAACCGAACCCCTCGTTCCCGACGATGGCTCCCGATAATTCTTTCTTTCGTTCCTTTCCGCTTCTTCGCCGTTGCAACGAGGAATCCCGCCTCGTAGACGTCTCTAAGAGGTAAGGATCCTCCGTTTCCGGAGGCTTACGTGCAAACTGCTATTTTGCTCATGCACGCGTGGCGAGCACGAAGGAGGAACAACCGACTGGAAAATTGTTGTCTCTTCGTGGCGCGTTCTATTATGGGAGGGAAGGAGAAGGGTAGGGGAGAGGGATCGTCTTCGAAGAAGGAACTTGGAATCGAGTTGAGGGCCACTGCAATTGGTGGTGGTATCTCAAGCTTGCGAACGACCATTTCGTTAACCTACTTATTCTATCTCCGTTCCATCCACGGAATGAGTTAGAGAGTGTCTAGTTTGTCTCCAGTTTCTCTCTAAACGTCTTTTCTCAAAACGTGTCCCCGCTCCGAAGGGAAATATAATTTTCTTTCTTTGCGAATTGTTCTTTAATGACGACGGACGCTTAGAGGCCGTGAGTGAGAACTTCCGTTTCCGTAAATAGAAATAAACTCGCGAATCATCAATTTAAATGAAAGTTTGTTTCAAACTTGTCCGAGCAATAGATGTATTAAAAATAAAAAACAAGACACGACTGTGTATAATTCGTTGATTTTTCTACTCAACGTGAAGAATGATTTTATAATGTAGCATAGAGTCAAATTATTGTTACTTTGAAATATTTATTCATTCACCATTGGATAAACACATCGGAAATAAGCGTATAATTTGATGATACGATTGTGCTAGTGTAATCTCATCGTGTATATAGATAAGACGGGATCGATAATTTAGTTATCTATACTATGCAATCAGAAATCGGAAGGTGGTGCAGAGAAACACGAGGGTATATAGAAGAGAATGATAACACATGTCGCTGAAGAATAAAAAAGTTTATGCCTTATTACCTTCACGATCGACTAAAAATAGTTTTGTATATAAAGAAGTTACAAAGTTCTTCCATTTGACACCCGGTTCTATAATCGTATTATTTACGTACGTATCGTGGACTCTAGAGTTCTATTCTAGATTCTCCGAATATATTTTTATATACGATCGATGGTTAATTGATAAGTCAGAAAACTCGTGGTTATTGAGGAATCCGATGTATTATCGCATTGAATACAGATCGTTTACTTGCCAATCTCGATAAATTTAAACCATAATTTAACGATGAAAAATCGGATAAGAGGGAAGATTGGTATTTTGAATTCAAACTAGTTTTCTCTCTCTCTCGTGTAATCAGTTCTGATAAGAAGAAAACCTATGGCTCGTAAAGTGGTAGTACGCATCACGAATATTTGACCGCAACTGTCAGTCGACCATAATGCAAAAGCGTAAGGACCACCGTGCCTAGTCATAAACCTGTCCCACATGCTTTTGGTTATTGCTTGTAAAGTTGTGAAGCTGACGAACGAACGTGCATGCGAAACAATGCTGGACAGACAATTCGATGACAGGATTGGACAAAAACGAACGAACGAACGAACGGAAGCGTGTTGTGCACCTTGGCATCTACAAAAGAAGAACAGATTGTCGATGTCAAAATAAGCATTATTGGATAAATTTAGAATAATAAAGAAAAGCCGTTGTTTTCTTAAATTCTGTATTAAAAGTAAGAGAGGTTGTGTGAAATAATAATAAAAATTTTCATGTGAACAAGTTGAGAAAGAAATGGAACTATTGATACATTATCTTTTATCTTCTTCTTTTTTTTTTTTTTACTTTATATATACTAAAAAATAACGTGTAAAAGAAAAGTATCACAAGTGTTTGACACATGCTACCTGAAATATTACTGACGTAATGCAAGTCAGCCGAGTTATAAACGTTACACAGCAAGTCTCCTTCAATGAAATGGTTTTAATGGATTGGCCAACTGACTTGCATTTTCCATTTGATACTCGACACGATTCGAACAAATCTTCTGTAAAAACTGATGAGGTTAAAGATTCATCCGTGCGAGAGTGCGTGCTTTTGACGACTTGTATATATCGATTTCAAAATATCACATGATAAAAATTGATAAAAATTGATTAAATTAACAAATGATAAAATATACATTATATCGTTCCGAAAATGATTAATAAAAATATAATATTCGTGCATTATGATTAATTTATTTTCTCATTATTATAGAATATTTTTCATACGATTTGTAAAGGAGAATGATTATGGAATATTATTTCGGTAGCAAGATGTACTAATATATCATTTGAGTATAAATCCTAAATCCATTCAGGAGTGTTTGATATCAACGGTAAGTCCTTTGAAACTAATCTCAGTTACTGATTAGGCACAAATGCAAGATCACAGTACGGTCACAACGTAAGTCAACTGTATTACCCGATGCGGTCACCTCGTTAACTGTACTATGTCCAAATAATCTACGTTTATGTATATGAGAAACATGATCTTAATATCCTTTGATCGGCTTCCTTGGAAAGAAAATCGTATTACAATTATCAATGATTGAAAAGGAACAAGTTAATGAGTTGTCAAAAACAAATCAAATAGATAAGATAGATAGATAAGATCGGATGTAAATATATAGTGAGAAAATCTTTTAGAAAATAATGAATGAATTACATAATATCATTCTTTTTTTATTAAAAACATATATCTAATTCGATTTATATTTTTATTTTACTCTTTGAAAATGCTTAACTAGATTTAAATTCAAATTATTATCATCGTTATAGATTTATCTAAATTATTTTAATCTTATTAAACCAATTAGCCTTTAGTTTACGTTTCGCGTGCGCGATCAATATTTTCTTATTCCTTAATTTATTCAACAAAGAGAGAAAATAATTACAATAAAAGTAAGACTGGATAGAAAAAGTATAAGTAGTGGAATATTTTAGAATTAAAATTCAGGAAGAACTGGGACAACCAGTTTAAAAGCTCTATGTACCGCAGAACAAAAGTACCGCTCGAGTATGGAACTACCATCTCTGAAAAATCTTTTTATCTTATGCTACATTTGAATCTACATACTCATTTCTATAGACAACGTCTATCGTCGGTGTAGAAGGTAACTTATTGAACGAGTTCTTCTTACTCATATGAGAGAAGTATAATGCACATTTGAAATGTAAAAAATTAGGAAAACGTTTAAAAGAATATCGCTCTTCGTTATATATATTCGTCAAATTTTTACGTATATTTACATTTTTACATATAAATAAATATAAAGTAAGAATTTTAAAAATTTTAACAGTGCTTGTTTTTTTCATTTTTTTTTTTTTTACTGCTGTACTAAATTACAAACATTTCTTTTTTACATTTCTAACATTACTACCGAAGATAAATTATTACACGTTCCAAGAAAATGGCATGGCATATCGTACGAGAGTTAGAAAAGGTAAAAGGACGTAAAAGTGGTGGGTGTTAGAACAGGTGAACTATAGCAAAGGTAATCATCGTCGAGGGATACAGGGGTTTGCGTCAATAAATATTGACATTTACGCGCCTTCATATATCGATCCGCGGAATAACTATCTTAAAGAAAGATTTAAAATATTTAATTTGTATCATCAATATTATTCGATAAATTTTTTCAATAATTATTTAAAGATAACTGTAAATGTTACGTACATTTTTATGTACGTTTTATTTAATTAATGATTTTTACATATATGTATGTAGTTGAATAGATGTGAATCGAATCGAACTGTATCAATTGAATCTTATTAGACTTTTTTTTTTTTTTTGATAAGAACGACGAATGAATAAATTTCGCGATTATTAAACATTTTTATTTAATTATTACCTTTATTTTATACCGCGAATATTTCATATAATTTTGATCTATGAAACTTTATAAGGAATATAAATCATTTTATGAACGATCTACATATTTATGTTTGGGTTATGGTAACTGAATTTTCGAGCGGACCACTTTCAGGGGTGTCTCAGATATTTTTGCAAGGGTGCCGCCACTTCGACTGTCTCGTACAGGAAAATGTTTTTAGTCGCTTGAAAGGGAAGGATGAAGTAGATTGAGAGTGACGTATACGAACGTGTTTGCGTATGAGAAAAGCAAAGGGTCGGTTGGTAATTTCTCGGACTGGTCAGTAGAAGAGTCTCGCATAGAACGGCCAGATAACCCGTGTCGCAGACCATGGATGTACGGAACTGTATCGATCCAGGCGTTAAATATTTAATCGCAGGAAGAAAGTTCAATACACCGACTAGGGCGGTTGTCTTTCGAAGACAGACCGAACGAACGAAAACGAACAAGACAGGAGCAAGCCGGCACGCAACAATTCCTCTGCCCGCTATTTGCCAAGACTGGGTTGACTTTCATTATTTAGAGCGGCGGAGAAAAATGAGGATCGTCGACACGTCGTTTCTACCGCATATCGATCGTAATTTACCAGACAACTTATCCATACGATGTGTGTATGTATATCAAAACCACAGCATTCTACATAGGTAAGATTTTTTGTAAGTGTAAATCAACCATAAGTGATTTATCACGACTATCTTTTCACAATATAAATTATTTTTTCAATTATGTATGAGATACAATGTAATTTTGTGAAAATATATACATATATAAAGAATTTATTATTACGTGAATTTAATCCATTCGTACACTATTCGTACCATTCGTATGATATTTGAATAATTTCAGAATATTATAATGAATACGATGATGTAGAAAGAAATTGTTGAAATATGGACACGAATGAATTTAGGTTAACTATT